TAAAGTACTTAATTGTTTTATCTATTAGGATTCTCTACGCAAAAATATGCCAAGCATATTTTTGCGTAGAATTTAGTAGGATCGGAATAAATACAAAATAGTCTTATAAGATCTTACAAAATCTCCATTATAATATATTGAATCGATGTGCAATAGTTTTTCTGCATAAACAATAAAATCTATTGTTTTAGTTTCTGTTAGTGCGAATACGCCTTGACACTAATAGTAATAAGGATGCTTTACTTTTTATTTTGGAGAACAACTGTTAAGTTTCATGTAAAGGTTTTAGCCTGACATGCTTCCTCAATTGTTGAATTTTTTTTTTTTTTTTTTTTTGATGAACTCCATTTTACTTCAAATACTTTTCCAGAATTCAGTACTCCATCAGGACAACAACCAAACCATGGGCATTTAGGATTTACAAAAAACCACATTGTATAACACTTGACTTTACTATGTTTTCATATTGTTTTTATCCTCAATGTAAATGCTTAAATTGATGCAATCTGCAATCTCCGTTTAAAACAAAATTGGTTTGTTTGCAATATCCGCGTAATAAAAAATTGGACTATCTGCATTTTCACCAGCCAGATTTTTGGACTATCTGCGTTTTTTGGGTGCATAAATTTTAAATGGTTTAAATGTTTGAACTTTTTTATAAAGTTCTACAAATTTTTAAATGATAGCAAGTATCTTCAAAAAACCTTGATCTTGTTTGTGAGTTGATTAAGTTTGTGAACATGATTAAGTTTGTGAGTAATTAAGTAATTTTAATTAAGATAGATTAAAAATAACTTATGTTTTGTTAATTACAACATAGCATATGTAACAAAACATTCTTATGTTGCATACTAATTGATAAATTATATATAATTGTACGTACTTTATCAACTTTATTTATTTTTTTGCCATTCAACAATGTATGTATGTATGTATGTATGTATGTATGTATGTATGTATGTATGTATGTATGTATGTATGTATGTATGTATGTATGTATGTATGTATGTATGTATGTATGTATGTATGTATGTATGTATGTATGTATGTATGTATGTATGTATGTATGTAATTCAGTGCATTAGGTTTTGTCCCACATAAGTGTGGATGAACAGACAGCGCAATGCAAACTTTTCCGTCTGTAGTACATCATAAATTGTATCATAAATGGTATTAGTTTAGATTTCTAGAAGATTTATGTCAATATTTCCTAGTGATACTTTGATGGGGACAAACATTATAAGTTGTTGTGATAAACCATTTCTTTTTTTAGTTATTAAAACTGTAGATTTCTTCTCAAAACTAGCTTGATGGGCCAACAAAACCAATTTAATGAAGTGACAAAGTTTTTCCAAATTATGGTTTTAGTATCCCTTATACTACAAAAAAATTGTATTGGGACTATTGAAATACTAAACAATTTTTTATTAGTTAAACTCTGCTGTGTAAACATATATTGGTTATATTGCTTCTGTTCTAATCCGTCTCACCTCCATGCAAAAATGCCATACTTATTATTTTTTAAGTAAATGTAATTTCTTTTTTCTCTTAATGAATTTCACAAAAATAAAAGAGTGTGCGATCAATGAGAACGTGTAGAAGTATTTCTGCCCACATATTCTTGCGCCAATGATGATGGCTGATTTAGAAATAACCCTTTGTATCACGTATTAAAAAAATAATTGAAATGTTTATAACGAAATTTGACTTCAAGAGATGCTGCCTTTGGTAAACTTGAGCTTTAAGAGCGCAAGTTTTAAAAGTTTTTGTTGGATAACTAGGTCTTATTTGCATTTAATTGAAGAACTAGCAATAAAGTTATTAGTGAGTTAGTTTCAGAGTTAACAGCCCAGTGGGATTGAGAAAAGTCATTGAATTCATTATGGAGTTAATGCCAATGAAAAAAGATATCGGAATATTTTTATATTCTTAAAAGGTCAACTGATGTATATTATAGTTCTAAGCAACAAGGGTAGCAATTACACTGTAATGGAGCTTTTATTTATTTAAACAAAATGGAAATTGTAATCCAACGTAGCATAAGCTGGAAAGATTGTTGAAATATTGTTCCAAAATTATTTAACAAAAAACAGAAAAAAAATGATCTGAATTCTTTTCATCAAAACTAGAAAAGGCTTCGATAAGGGGGTTTTGATGCTTTGCAGCATTGTGTTGAGCAATTTGGGTATTGTAAAAGCATGGAAATAATTTTTTATTACCGTTAAATAACTCAGACAGTCCAGGAATATATACATATACGGTCCAGGAATATATATACATAAGCTTTAGCAGGATGCACTTGCCAACACAATACTGAGTAAGAGTCTTAATTTGTTTATTATTACGAAAGCAAATCTTGATCGGAAAGAAATTGTGAAAAATCGTTGCCCATTTAAAGTTGAAAATGTTACCCTGATTTGGTTGCGAAAGTCTTACAGAGATAATTATTCTGTAAATCATTTAGAGAAGATTAAGGATACACCTTTACGTGTATTTAATTTAAAAAAATTATTTTAAATATTAAAAATTTAATTGTTAAAAAAAAAAAAAAAGAAATGGAATATTCTATATAAAACACTTTTATTAATTCGTTTTGCGAGACTTTCTCTGAAAAACTTAACAAATATTTTTGGATATTCCCACAAGTTTCTTTTTAATTTTCAAAGAGTCAATAACTTTTGGAATATCAACCGGTGTAGTTTTATGAATTTTAAACTCGGATATATCATTTTCAACTTTTTCTTTATACTTTTGCTACTCGCATGGCTTATGTATCTTACAACAGCCGTTTTAACAGAGTTTTGGAAAATTATCGAATGTAATCCTAATCAATAAATATTGAAAAACCATTTTAAAAAAATCATTAGAAATATTTGATATTAAATTGTTGTCAGAAATCACTTCACCATCTTCCAACAAAGTTATACTTTCATTAAAATTTCCAGACATATTTAAAAAGAAAGATTTATATAACCTCCAAAGAGAAGTATTAGCTGTGGTGTGCAAATTGATGCATTTAAATACATTCTCTTAATTTTCCCATTAAGTTTCAGGTGATATTTCTTTTTTAAGTATGAATAACGTAACCATTTAAAAGAGCATAACGGCTCTTTTAAATGGTTAGGTGACAAATGGCTTGTCATTGTCACTGAGAATTTTAGTTTTTAATGGTGCATATAATTTCAAAACTTTAATAAATGTTTCATTAAATTTACAGAATTTACAAAATTTCTTTGCCCAATAAGTTTAACAAGTCCCGCACAAGGTATTACAAAAATAGCAAAAAAAATCAATAGATAAGTTAATATATCACGGTTTATAAATTTGGCTAAATCCAAAAGTCTGTTGACAAGTGTTTTTTTAATATATAATCACCGGTAAATTAATGAAATAAGCAGAATAATGGCTCAATTAAGTTAAACAATATTTTAAATAAGCATTTTGAATATCACTATTTGTTTTGAACAGCATATTGACGAAATAAACATTTTTGAAATGGCACGCCGTGGAACTTCGACTGATACCAGGATTGAAATTTATCGTTTAATTAAGGAGGAAGGAAAGTCATTGAGAGAAGAAGAAAAGATATTTGAATTGAGAGCGGAAGGTGTAAGGATGATCGTTAAGCGAATAAACCAGCGAAAAATGGCAGAAAATTCAATTAGATTAGATCGACCAAGGAAGATAACTGCAAGAGATGATTGCCTAATTGTTAGAACATCAGTTGAAACGCCAAACATGAGTTCAATAGAACTTAAAAACGAACTTGGCAATTAAATTTTGCAATTAGTCCTCAAACAATTAGTAGACATTTCAATTATGTCGGAATATACGGTAAAGTGATGCGAAAAAAAACCATTCATCTCTATAAATAATCAAAGAAAGAGGCTGGTGTTTGCTAAAATGCATATAAAGTTGCCACTCGAAGTCTGAAAGTCTGTAATTTGGACAGACGAAGGGCAAGTTTGAACTCCAATCAACAAAGAGAAGAAGAACGGTCTTCAGAAAAAAGAATGAGGAGTTTTTAATGCAACATATGATATCTACAGCCAAGTTTGGTGGTGGGTCGGTGATGCTGTGGGGTTCCATTTCATGGAACGACCCTGGTATTATCGAGTTGATCAATGGTAAAATGACTAAAGACGTTTATCTCGACATTGTACAGCAAAACGTCTTTGTTTCTGCGGCAAAATTAAGGATCGAGGACGATTTTATCTGGCAGGAGGATAAAATCATTTCACAAAACGGTTATTTTACTATAGAAACATTTATTCTAAGTTTCAAAAATCTGAAATAGAAAAATATTTTTAATTTTTTTTTTTGTTAGGGTGGAATTTCGAAGTTCTAAAATATGTTTTTGCATGTTTTAGATTTTTTACATTTTTGTAAAAATTGTAAAACATGTGCAGATTAATTTCTACAATATTGTGTCAAGCTTTCTTAATAAATTTTTGTCTCAGCTTTCAATAAAAGCAAAGGAACTGAATTTCTAAATAATTACTTTTATTTATTTTTTGTTAACTTATGCTTCAGTTGATGGATTCTTGTTTTAATAGTAGAATGTTTGAAAAATTCATTAAATAAACTTTTAACGATTAAATGCCTATCTTTAAACTTTTAATTTTATTTGAGTGATTTTCACTTAATTGAGTTTTATACTAAATATTCAAGATGTTATAGCCTAATAAATTAGTAATAATATTTTGGTATATCAATATAAATACAAACTTTACAAACAAACATGAGTGAACCTTGTTTTAATTATGTGTTTACAAAAAGCGCCTTAATAAATATTTGGTGCAAAACCTATTGCTGTTGTCAAGATTTCTAATATTCAGATTGCTGCTAAATTCAAAATGGCTGTGAAATATTTTGGGTATTGATCTCAAAAAAGTTTTTGAGGTTGCCTTTAAATTACAAAAGCAAGATTAAGCGTTGCAAAAAAAAAAAAAATATATATATATATATATAAAATAAATTTAAAAAAAATATTTTCTTGAAATAACATTAAACGTATACATACTTTGTAAATATATAATTGTTTATTCAATTGACATTATTTTAAAAAAATTTTAATCAAAAAATAATCATAGCTATAATTAACTTTGTAATTGCTGTATATAAAAAGACTTTAACAGAGTTCGGTTTTTAAGGTTCACGATTCATTTTATTTAAACATGTTGCTATTATTCATTTCATTCCGTAACACAATTTCAAGCACTAAATTTAAACAAAAAAACTAAACTTAAAAATTTAAAGACAATAACTAAATTGAACAAGCTACTTCAATTTATTTCTTGGAATTTTGTAAGTTTAAAAATAAGCTTTATTTTTAAAATATTGGTACCTCACATTAGTCCGGATAAATCTTGCAAACGGAATCTGTCTTCATTAACATAACCTTTATTCATTGTATACACTAAGTTAAAAGTATGTATGTATGTATGTATGTATGTATGTATGTATGTATGTATGTATGTATGTATGTATGTATGTATGTATGTATGTATGTATGTATGTATGTATGTATGTATGTATGTATGTATGTATGTATGTATGTATGTATGTATGTATGTATGTATGTATGAATGTATGTATGTATGTATGTATTAGTTTTTGTATACTATACACAAAACGTATAATTTTATACAAAAAGTTAAATTTATAATAAAGAAATATTCGTACCCACTCACTCAAGTTACTAAATGACATGCTGCAACTTTTTAAATTCAAGTTTTAGTATTCTTTGAGTCCAGTATTTATAAAATGCATTGATTTATCATCAGTACAATTATTACATTCATTGAAGTGCTTTGTGCTTGTTTTCATATCTGTTGTATTGTCATCTTTTATTCTGGAACGTGGTCCTACAGATTAATGTTTCAATATTTGAGTATGTTGCTTTAAATAATAAAACTTTTAATTTATAATGCCACCTTGTTAATTAAAAACGTTAAATAAAAAAAAATCTAACCTTGCATTTTAAATGACTCAATTGAAACCAGTAAGATCAAAATTGTAAAAAAACTCATTCTAAAATAAACTTTTAGGAGTTGTCTTTAATGATCGAGAAGTGTAAATTGTTGTGATTTGTTTTAGTACTCGACAAATTATTAATAGGAAACTGTAAACAAAAATTTACGCAGACCATATTTACAAATAAAAGTCGCTAAACCTATTCAACAAAGTGATTATAGAAATGGACATTAATTTTAACACACCTTAAAGCAAATATGTTGTTTATGTTTCTGTAAACAGAGTCTTTGAGAAAACGATTGGAAAACTGGAAAACAACATTTTTCTAAAGACTTACTGTCCAATCAATTGGTTTGTTTAACATCCAATCAAAAGGGGAGTTACAAAAAAACTGAGCTCAAATCATAAAAGAATGCAATAACTTTATTGCTAATCAAATAAACAATTTGCAAACGATCCGCACGTACACTTTATTGTTTAATAGAGATTGTTTAGTAAATTTTTATAAAATATGTTTGACCTTATATGTGCAATAGTCAATCAGTTTTTGTTTTGTTTTTAGGCAAACCAAATAAAATAAGAACTGCGTGTCATTTTAGCCGAACTAAGATTTTCTCGATAATAAATAAATCAATATTTATTTTCATAATTTTAACTTTATAATTAAAACTTACCAAAAAAACTCTTACTAGATAAAGTATAAGTAGTATGGCTTTTTGATGATCAATATTTATAACTGAAATTAAAAATATAAAAAAAAATATCTTGCTTAGAACACTATAACTATAAAACTTCCAATTTGCTTAACCTACCATAGTAGGATTAAATGAAAAATGCATAAATTAAATTAGATGAAACTATGAGACTCAGCACTAAGCGAACATTTTTTTTAATAAAATTTTTAGTTAATTTTTTTAAGTTAATAATGTTCTGCAATGGCTGTTTATATTTTCAGATTTATAGTTAAATATATGAAATAATATTTAGTTATTGTACTTCACATACTAACCTCTACAAAAACATGCGTCTTACTATTTTTTAAATTTACATAAAATTCGATTGAAAGTTGACTCAATTTATAACTTACTCCCATCTATATCCTATCCCAGAGCGGTAATTAGTGCTTTGAATATTCTTGGCTTTTAACATAACAACGTTTCTAGGCTTCTACATTTGTAGAAGTCAATATCATGCCACTAATAAGCTTTTTTTTACATATCTTTTGCACCATTAGGCATTAGTTTTTTAATATTTCTTTTTAATTCATCTCACAAAAGTTTGTTTAGAGAGATCTGGAGTCTTGAGACATATTTATTTTGTTCAATGGTTAATTAATCTCTCGTATACCTTATTCGTCATTATTCCATCTATTTTAAAAAAAAAGTTATTTTCACTAAAACAACCCCTCGACATTGCATTAATCCATGTTTCATAGTCGGCACCAATTTTATAAGGGCAAACAATTTTTTTTCGGAAACAAAGAATTGAAACTTTGGCTTTTTATTCCTAAATGCACGTTTTTTTATTTTCTAGTTTTTGTATAGTTTTTCCCACTCTGGTATTTTTAATTTAATTTGACTAAAAAAATGCTTTCCTTGCAACTATTCTGCCACCAAATGCTGTTTCCATCATTTCCCTCTTCATTGTTGTCACAGATACCGGATTTTCTCAAGAACTATTAGTGGTTGTAATACTTTAGTCTTTGGTGGCATGTATAATTAAAAAGTTTTTTAATTGTTTTTTATTGACCACACTACCAGGCTCTAATATCATTTTTTTAAATCCGTAACTTTTGATGTCCTGAATAATAATTTTTCCTGCTATTTGACAGAGTTATCAAAAACGCGACAAGTTTATCGAAACAAATTGTGAAGCGTATTCGCGGAAAACAATTACATATTTTTGTATTCTAAGGAAACTGGTAGATTTATGCAAAATGGCTAATTTTAACAACACTCACTGAGGAGCAAATAAAAATTAAGATTGAAAACAATGTTAACTAATTTTAATTAGTATTTAATTAGTTAATTAGTTTCAATATTTAAAAAAACCTATAACTTAAAGTCAAAAAAGACTTAAATTCAAAACAGGATATCTAAAAAAGTTGATAACTTTCTTAGTTTCTTTTTACAATTTAAATAAAAACTTATTCCCTAATCAAAAGGCTAATATCTTTAAATTGATAAATAGTGACCTAAAGAAGGAGAATGAGACTCAAAAATAAATAACTCGCTTCCTAAAGCACTATCTTAACGGGTTCCTCCTCAGCTTTACAAACTTAATTTCTTTTTAATTTCAGAATAATCTTAGAAGAAAAACTGAAAACCAAGAAAGATAAAATTATCCCAAAATAAAAAACTTTAGGGGAAAAGAAATAGAAAGAGAAGAAAAGCTAGAAGTTAAAGAATATAACGTTTTACTGGTACATAAAATGGTGTTTGACCAGGGACTTGTTTGTTGAATTATATTTATAATTCCAGTGTAGTTAAGTGGCATGGCGATTGCAGAATCGACCTTTGCTGTGACTTTGAAAAGCCATTTAATTAACCAATTGTGAGCAATTGTGAGAAACACACACATAACAATGTTAAAAGTTTAGATCATACAAGAGCTTAAGATGTACAAAGTTAAAGACTTAAAACTGATGATTTACTTAGTCACTAAAAATTCAATCCAGAACACCAGAGAAAAAGAAACTTCTACAAGTCACAAAAGGATGCTATGTTTCTGCTGTTGAAAGTAACTCTTTGGATTTTATATAAGGTATTTTAAAGATTAAAAGCTCCAAGGAAGTAACAAGACCGTTTCCAATAAAAGTATCCGATTTTTCAATAAAATTAACCAACAATAAGCTATCGGTTTAGACCACTGGAACGTGTGTTGAAACGAAAGCTAGCAACACAGGAAAGTAAAAAAATAAGGAATGTTTTTGTTGATGAGGGAGATCTGTATAAGAGCCATGAGTCTCATTTTATGAAATTTATTCTGAGTCTTGTTAAAAGTTTTAGCAAACATTTTTATATTTCACCTTAACAGCTTTAACCACAAACATACAAAGAAGTAATTAAAGTTGAAAGACTCTTTTGCACAATCTTGCCGTAGAAACAAAAGAATTCTGCACCACAGAACTTCAGAAAACAAGTTTTAGAGAGGAGTTTACTAGTATATTTACCAGCTTCTAACTAAGTTTATTAGCGTTCAGGTTCCTAAGTTCTATTTCTCACTATGCTCACTAAGCTCGCAATGAGGCAAGGTTTATAAGCGTTAGCGTCTACATTTTAGTTCTGCTGATGACAGAGAACTAAATCACCCTACTAATTTCGAGACAGTAGTGCCTGCTTCTTTTAAGCGTATAATTATTGCGACAAATTACATATTTCCTTTGGGAGATCTAATAAAATCTTTCTACGACACACATAATATCTATCTCTCCGTCTTGTGGTTGTTTTTTTTTTCTAACAATGATCTGAACATTGGTGAAAAAAACAATATTGTGAACAAATTGTTTTCTTTTTAGTTCCAGATAAAAAAGACATAAAAAACCCATGGTTTCAATATCATCACAAAGATTTTATCACAGATTAAGTTATTTATGTTCTTGTCTACTTATCTTGTCTATCAATCTTGTTCTATCTATGTTCTCTTGGAATTCGTTATGGAAGAACTGTTTCTGTAGATAAGGGAGGCATATTGGTTTTAGTCAAGAATAAGCAAACCCGTAATTTATTTTTCAAAATCTCTTCTTGTGCAATATAGCTTGCAGAAGTTTGAATGGGCTGAACTTCGCATCAAGTCGATCTTTATCCAAAAAATCACATAACCAGAACAGACTTAAAGGCATCATAAAATTCTAAACACTAAACATTAATAAATATTGCGGTTAAACATTTTTGAGATGGGTTCTTTCATTTTTTTACAAAAGTATAAAAAATACTACCCTATTTTAGTTTTTATTTTTATTTCCTCGACAAATATTTTCTAGATAAAAATAATTTTGATTGGTTAATGTTTTTTTTTTTTTGAAATCACTTACATTTTTTTGATGCTTATCTACAAGCTGCAAAATCCATTCGTTCTTCATTAATATTATGATTGAGAATGCATTGGAATGCATTGGAAGCAAAAGATTTTTTTTTTGCATTGTTCTTCATTGTCGTCTAGACATGAAAAGTTTTTTAAGTGTTGAAGGTAAGGTTGGATAGTTTCAAAATCTTTGGGAAATGGCTTTTTTTTTTCAATGGTATTAATAGTAGTAAAACCACTTTTCTTACCTCTGTAAATTTTGTCCTTGAAGATTGTGAGATTTTTAAATAGATTCATCTTAGCGATTTGTTGGTAAAAAACAAACCCATCTTATAACTTTTCTCTTATTAAAATTGACATCATTTTGCCAAGCTCATTGTAATCATTTTTAGGTTGCTTTGCCTTGTCATACAAGTCAAAGTATTCTAAAAATGAAGTTGACCCAGGACAAAATTGAACAAGTCATTGCTCTTTATTGTCAACTATTAGTTTTTAATTTTAGTCTAGGAAAAGTTTTTTTCAGCCATTTTTTCAACTTTGTTTTACTTATTTTTCAGGCTCTTGAACAACGATAAAGTCAGGAGACTATTTTTTCGTTGTTTAAGTCTAAAGTTTTTCATTGATCAAAATCTTTTCCAAATAACTGCCATACTTTTTTATAATGTTATGAAAGCGATGCGCTTAAACAAGGTAAAGTATTTTTTAATTAAGATGCTTTTCTATAGGAACTGCAGTGTCTTAAATGCATCCAGTGTTGGTTGCTGTTGTATCCCTGCAAGTACTGACAATTGTTCAATAATTGTTTTTGTAGACAGCCTTGGTTGATTTTCGAAAAAATAATAGCAAGTCTGTATAATATTACTTTTTTCAATATTTGCAAGAATTTTCCCATCCCTTCTTATCTTGATTATTTTTGGGTATATTCTACATTTAATCTACCAAAAGGTATATTATCATTTAAGACTCCTGCTTTTGCCAAAAAACCCTAAGAAAAAGAACTGTCTGACTGCTGAAAAATATTGCGCAATCAGCTGCTAATACTATTTCAGGGTCATCAAAAATCTTTAATGAAAAGTTAAAGAAATTATTTGACATTTCTTTGTTTAATAAAATGTGAAAATGGGAAGAAAGTTGTGTAAAACAATTTCTGTTTCAGAATTTTTTTCTTCTTTTTTTTGGCTTTAGTATGGAATCTTTTCAAATTTTATGCAATGATATTAAAAATTTTATTGTGTTTTAAAAAATTCTTTAGAACCTTATGGATATTTCTGGATCTTTATCTTTG